TTGGGATTCCTGAGTTTGATTCCCTAAATTCTCAAGAGTTTTCCCAACTCTCAAAATTTCCAAAGCATTGGGGAATAACTAAGCCACTGGCAAGTCGATTCTGCCAACAAGCTTAGCTCTTTTCATAAGATGCAGTAGTTTCAAAGCTGAAAAAGAAAAGCTAGAAAATTTTGCAATACATCCACAACTCCAAGGGTAAGGGAAAGAAGACAGGGGTGGCTATTTACTACACATTGCCAAATATGGCTAGAAAACCAGTAAACACATCTTTTCTGAGTGCAAAGGCATTAATTAGGTTGACTTGCCAGGAAGATGAGACTCTGAACAAAAATGCACAAATCATTTGTCACTATTGGTACAGGCAAATTAAATCATGTTGAGTGACTTTAGGCTTCACACCAGAGCTACTTCAAGAGCATGACCAGGGGAATGGAGAATGCAACCCAAGTGGTCAGATGGAAAGGTCTTGTAAACACAAGAGATCTGTGGGTAAGGAAAGCAAAGGAATCTGGCCAAAGAATATGGAAATAAATCCATCTGACTGGCTCTGGCAGTCAAGCCAGTCAGACGCCACAGACGCTTTTATTGGAGGTTGCAGGTGAAAACAAACTGGTAAACAAAACTACATCCCAGCACAACTCTGCCCCAAATCAGTGAACAAGAACCTTACTATGCAGATAGTTCTATAAAAAGGGTTCTAATACTGTATTCCACACCACCATCTGATTATCTCTAGTTGGCTGAACTCTTTTCAGTGGAGAAGTATTTTCCAACTCCTATGCCTTTAAGCTATTTCCTGGGTAAATTTCATAAGGCAGTGAATGCTCTGTATTTAGCAATCTTCCTCCCACACAGTCCAAACCTGCAGGGTCCATATGACAAATCACCAATAGACAACTGATTAAAAAAAAAAAAAAAAAAAAGACGAGCCTTTTAAACTGTAAACTTCTGAAATCACTAGTGAAGATGTAGAAATTTTACCTTTATGGTTCAGGATTACAACTTATAGTGGTATTGTAAATAATGGGTTAGAATACCTCTCTGATGGAGACTTAGGGCCTTGAATTCCATATATCAATCCTGCCTCCTACCCTCTCCTATGCTTCATTTTTTTCTTGATCTAGATTCCCATTTTCATATACTTTTTTTTTTTTTTTTGGGGGGGGGGGCTGGTCATGGGGCCTGAACTCTGGGCCTGGGCACTGTCCCTCAGCTTTTCAGCTCAAGGCTAGCGCTCTACCACCACTTGAGCCACAGCACCACTTCTGGCTTTCTTTTTTGCTTATGTGGTGCTGAGGAATCGAACCTAGGGCCTCAGGCATGCAAAGCAAGTGCTCTACCACTGAGCCACTTTCCCAGCCCTCATATACTTTGAAATAGTGTGTTTTGCAGAGCCCTCTGCTATCCTGCTAGTCCAGACGATCCTGATTCTAGAGCAATGCACGGGCAGAGTATGAAGGGGAAGGCAGGCCCCAGAGGGAAAGCTGGCACTGAGGCATATGCTGGGTCATTTTTCATTTATTTGAACTTCTGTCCATCCTTTTCCTGCCACCAGCATCATAAATTGCTTTCTCAATGCCTCATCTCTCCAAGTTCTTCTTTCAAAACAATATTTTTTAAACATTTCTTGTTTTATTTTGGTGCTGGGACTGAATCCTGTGCTCTACCATTTGAGCCATGCTCCCAGACTTGATTCAGCCTTTAAAGTCTCCCCCCACCCCAGCATTCAGGAGGTAGACAGGAGGACTTCAAGTTCTAGGTTAGCCTGGGCTACATAGCAAGACCTTGTCTCAAAACCGCCATCTCTCCTTCCTTTTAAAATAAAAACAAAAAAACAAACACCTCTAAACCTAAATTTTTGGAGTAGTCTGCCTGTGCTACGCAAGTTGAGACACTATTTCAAAAACACAATCAAGCTCACAGGCAAAAATAGATTCTGTGTTTGAAGCCACAATTTGCTTTCCTCCCTTTTGTACTGGAAGCGCCACAAGGCAAGATTCCAAGTCTGTTCCAGCTGCCCTGAATCCCAAGTCTGCTGTCTCCGACAGCATGGACAACTCAGCATTTGTTGAGACAATCAAGCAACCACAACAAATGCACAATTAACCTCTGGAAGCCATTTTTGGCATGCTGGATACAAAGCCCATGTAGTGGTCCTCTCTATCTGGAACTATCTGATGCTTGTCATAGTGACATGGGCCAGCCCAAGGGCCATATCTCCTGAGGCCCTCCACCTCCAGTAGGGCTTTAAACCCCTTCCCCCCACTTCCATTCCCCACAACTTGATGTCTCTGCTAATCAAAGAAACTAAGGCACAAAAGAAAAGCAAGTACATCAAAGGCTCCTAGTAGCAGCTACAGGGGGCTCCAGTACCATTGAAGGCTTGAGGGGGGGGCTTCACTCACAGTTCTCAGGACAGGCTTTGAGCTTCACTGTGCTGAAGAGGAATTGGCATTCATTCTTAGGAAAGAAGGAAAAAAAAGCCGTCTTTATGAAATTCCTAACATTCCTGAGGAGGCCTCTCTCATCTTCCACAGAAGCACATCCCGATTTCTAGTCAGTCACAGCCTACACTCACCAAATTCACGAGAACTTTTTATTTGTGCTGCAGAATGCAAAATTCATTAGTTTCTCTTAGCTATGTATTAGCTATCTCTGGTGCTCGGAATCAAACCTGAGGCCTCACACGTTAACATGCACTCTCTCACACTGAGCCTCACCCCTATGCTCCTTAGCCTAAGGATCTATGACCAGTGGGAAGTTTCAAACATGGCAATTCAACCATAATGCTCCCTTTCCAGGAAGCAAGGAAAATGAGCTGCCTGTCCTGGCCAGTGGTTTGCAAGGCAGTGTATGGCATACATGCAGGATAAAATTACCATGTAGAATATAGGTAGAACAGGGGCTGGGAAGGTGGCTCAGCGGTAGAGCGCTTGCCTTGCATGCCTGAGGCCCTGGGTTCGATTCCTCAGCACCACATAAGCAAAAAGAAAAAAAGCCAGAAGTGGCGCTGTGGCTCAAGTGGTAAAGCACTAGCCTTGAGCTGAAGAGCTGAGGGACAGTGCCCAGGCCCAGAGTTCAGGCCCCACGACCGGACCCAAAAAAAAAAAAAAAAAAAAAAAAAAAATATATATATATATATATATAGGTAGAACAAACTTTTTTTTGCTTTTGAGCCTTTGGAAGATGAACTCTAGGCTATCATCACCAGATGCATGTGATATGTACAGACAGGAGCTGAAGAGTCAACCAAATAAATTTTTATAGCTTTCACTAGATAGAAAGATTTAAGAACCATCAGACTCCATGTTCACTGATTATCATAAGAACAGTGACAAAGTCTCAAATCTCATTCCTAGGCATCTGGTGCTAGGGGGGTGCTTGGGGAAAGCCACAGGGTTGTATCTCCAGCTTGTACATAGAGGCAAGGAGCTCTGGAGAACATGGGTACAGAAGCTAGCTTACGCATGCACACACGCACATGCACGCACACTCACACACACTCACTCACCATCTCAACTTCCCTTGCCAAGTAACTGATCATCTTTCCATTAGATGAAGCACATCCTGCTGGATGGAAGCTTCTGGCTAGAGATCTTGAGGCCTCCATAGTTATAAAATGATTTAACAGTCAAAAAGCAAAAATCTACAGCTTAGGAATGGTTGACGGCACCTTCTCTACACAGGACGCAATTTAAGGATATAGTACACATTTTACAGGAAAATCCTCTTTGGTGAATAAACAGACATCCCTGAAGACAAGCTATTCACCAGCTGCCTGTGGCTGGCTACGGCAAAGGAGCTGTCCAGGACAACTCACCCTTGCCGGTTATGTTCTGTGGACAACCAGGCAGGTTCACAATCTGATCTTCTTAGAAGTTGACGAAAATTTCTGCACTTCCAGAATCATAAAGTGTTAAACACAGGATAAAAGCTGTTCACCTACCTAGTGTAATCTCCTTTAATGTACTTTGCATTCTATAACTGCTCAATTTGTCATTCAGAATGCTAACAATTAACTACTTTTTAAAATATGTGCTGGAAACATTTAAGAAATCAAAAGCAATTATAGGTTCAATAAAAAAAGATCAAAAGGGACAAGATATTTGGTAGGTAAGTGTAAGCTCAAAGTATTCTTAACAAGAATTCTAGGCTTATTCAATTTTCTCATATATATGTGTATATATGTGTGTGTGTATATATATACATACATTATATATATGTATATGTGTGTATATATATATACATACATTATATATATGTGTGTATGTATATATATATATATATATATATATATATATATATATATATATATGAGAAAAGCTATTGTAAAGAGGTTTTTGCCAGACTGATATTAGATACTCTACCTGGGACTGCCCCAAACTTGCACATTGTAAAAATCTAGTGACATCTGCTGAACAGTGGCAGAGTTTGGTCTGTTCACACAGAAGGCCTTTGGAGAAGAACCTTGGGTGAGATTCCTCCATCCATCCCACCCAGAGAGCAGTAGTAAGCTTAAAATACACTCCCAAATCATCGCCCCTAAAGCAAATTCAAGCTCCCACTGTACTGCTGCTGGATTTCACTTCAATCACAAGCACCAACTAGTTAACTACAATCACAGTTCTAAAAACTGGCAGACAAATCCTATGATTTGTGCATTTTTTCATCTTTGGTGTAGGACAGGCAGTAACACAAGGCTGTCTAAAAAGACTATCCTAAAGACAGACTGACCAATCTGTTCTGAGAGCCCTCTGGAAAGCAGTAAACTGGAACTCCTGTCAACCCATTCTGTAACTTGAGAAAGGATCATGATGAATCTAAGTGACTTGCCATGCTGCTGCTGTTTTCACACACAAGCAATACAAAAGAAAGGAAGGAAGGAAGGAGGGAAGGAAGGAAGGAAGGAAGAGAGCGAGGAGGGAGGGAGGGAGGGAAGGAAGAAAAAGGAAACCGGGATAGACAAGTGTCCCACAGTAAAGTTCCAAAGAAACAACTCCTGAGATACAAGCCTCCATTTAATTGTTAGACGACTTGGATTTTGACAGGAAGAACCAACTTTCAGAAAATGAGATTTCAGACAATATCATTTAGCACTAAGGACAGAGATCACTCTTTCAAAGCTTCTATTTCAAACATGGTGAAAATGATTAACTTGGAACCAAGAATTATCCTTCTCAAGAAAAGCAAGATTCCAGAATCCTGCTAGTCCCTAAGAGTTTACTTTCCAGGAAAGAATTACCCAAAACCTATCTAGCAGGATTATTGCACAGTGGGGCCCGCAGGACAATGACTTCCAAGGGCTAGTCCTTACATTTAAAAAGGCCACAATACATACACCTATATAGTATGCCCCACCCTAACCAGACATGGGAAATACAAATATGCATCTTGCTTAAAAGAAACTCCTGAGGAAAGAAAGGGAGAACTCTACAAAGGCCACTTGACTCAGAAACTGCTTGACTATTTCCACTGCCATGAAGGACACTTGCTGAACAGCCCATGTCCCAAGCACCAAGATGAATGGTGATAGATATCACACTTCACTATTTACCTCTGATTATAGCTCAAACAAAATTTCTTCAGAAGGAAGAACTTCTTTGGGGTTGGGAGGATGATATTCATGTTTGAACTCAGGGCCTTGAGCATGCAAGGCAAAGGGCTATTATACCACTTGATCCACACACTAAGCCCTTGATCATTTTCCTAGGAAAGGTTGAGTTAAAAAGGAGATCAGCTGTTGGTAATCAACCTATTAGCTGAACTTCCCTTTTCATCAGTCATATAGTATTGAGGTGTTATTGGTGAGAGGCTAGCAAACCCAATCTCAAGCAAATTCCAGTGTTTATTTAGGCTATTATTTTTTACCCAGTCCTTGACATTTAAATGCAAATGTTTTTTTATCCCTGTTCCCTTTTAAATCTGGGTAGCACCACTTTTTCAGTTAATTCCCCTATAATATACCCCACCCAATGTTAAGAAAGATTTTTAGCCATCCATCCACACAGCAGCCTGTGACCCCTATATAGGAGGAATTTTGAGCCCTCCCACTCACCCTATTAAAATATCAAACCCTGAGCACACAAAATAAAAACATAGGACTCTAGGAGTTATTGAATTATCTTCCATTTCCTGTTATAACTGGTGAATCATCATACACAGACACTGGGTATTAATTTCAAACACCAAACGATTGTTTAAGTTTCTAAACTGACAGTTTAACTGAGTCAATCAACTGTACCCTGTCAACAGCACACACACACAGCCAGTGTGGAAGTGGATCTGTTTCTAGCTGCATGGGTTGTAGGAGTTTTCATAATTTCTCATGCTTTTCAAAGCATTCACTCTCATTCTAAAATGGTATACTATACACAAAACCATTCATTTTATTCCAGAATACATCATCTTAATGAGAATAAAAAGCTTTTGTATGCACATAACTGCCAATACATTTAAAAAGGCCCAAATCTTAACAAGTAGAATAGACAAAAAAATCATCAGACAAGAGATCATAAATTACTTTGGCCGGAAAAAAAAATCTTAAAAAAAAAAAAAGTCTGGCTCAACATTCTGCTTGCAGGTTTCTACATATACTGTGTATGTGGTGAGTGTGTATGTGTGTATATAGAGCTTTGTTTGTGTAAGGGAATGAAGTACGGTCTAGCCCATTTCCCATAGTTATGTAGGAACTACAATGTTCTTTGCTAGCAAAACAAGAAGTGCAAGGTCTGCATTTCCACCAACTCGATGTAAAGCCCCAAGTGCTTCCTGCAAAGTAAAGCCTGCACGGAGAATCCGGTCAATATCTGCAGCAGGAAAGATGAATGGTGGAAGAGTGGAGGGACTTGATGGTGGCTGGCTGGTAGGTGGTTCCAATTCAAGCAATGACCTTGTAGCTTCAGGAGAGATGTTTTCTCCAGTTTCAGGCCTGGCTATTGCTGGATTATGTCTACCCTGACCCAAGTCCTTAACCAGTATGAAACCGGAGGGCAAAGACTTAGTTTGCTCAGAAGTCTGACTGAGTGCACCCCCCTCACCCCCTTCACCAGGGACAATACTTAAGGTGCAGTGTAATTGGTTAGATGATTTAGTTGAAGTTACAGTATCAGAACTCCTCTCGCTTATTGACCCCCTAGACCTGGGGACCCCCTCCTTGTCAGCTGACTGATCGCCACCTGGACCTCCAAAGCAAGTATTTTCTCCATCTTCTAAGCCTAAGTTTCCTGTCTTCACTGATAGGCCATCAGAACTGGCCTGGTGACAGGAGACTTGAGGACACTGGTCACAGTGGGTCAGATGCTCACACTGGATCCACTTTTCTGATAGATCCTCAATACTTGTTTGGTCCTCAGCTACTGTTTCTGATTGGCAGGTAGTTTCCTCAGATGCATTTTCTGAGGCTGGCTTACTACTGATGACCAAAAGTTCATGAAGTTCTTTCAAGGCTGCTGTTACAGATGAACAAGATTCTTCTGATTCCATGGAGGGCTGACAACTTAAAGAGGGGGAGTAATTGCCATATTCTTTATTTGTTCCAGATATTTCAACATTAATTCCAGCTGGCTGCAAATCCTGAGTGCAGATGGAATCACTGAAACTTTCTGAGGAGTCTTGTTTTGATGGTTCTACTTCCATTGAAAGACTATCTGAGGCAAGATCCGATACGTCAGTGTTCTTGATCCTGGTGCTCACATGGCCTGCTGAATCAAGCACAGTAGTTAGGGACTGTTCAACGACATCTACTTCCATCAGAATGTCTGCATCAGAGCAGCTAAAGCATCCTGCACCTGGAAGGACACTCTCTTGATGCCCAGCTTCTTTCATTGCAGCTTCCATATCAGCAAATTTTGGCTGTTCTTGTCTTTCCTCATGAAGCTCAAGGTCCCCCATGTCACAGAGGTGTCCTCTGTCCCATGGAGCTCTCTGCTGTGCCACCTCATGTTGTTCACTCCCTGGCTCGTGGTGCTGCTGAAGGCCATTCATTTGACTCAGGCTCTGATTTTCTGGGTGCCAATTCTTTTCACCTACAAATGTCAGTGATTCATGCATGGTAGTAGTTGTGACAGATAAACTAGCTTCCTGTCTTGTGTGGAAATAAAATTCGAGGCCCTGGGTGTTTTTTTCAGATTTCTGCAGAGTATCTGTAATGACTGCTTCTTCAGATGAATTATGCAAAGGCATAACTGGAGTCTGGTCTGCTGAGGGAGCGAGGTCAGGAAGATCCTGTGGAGAAAGAGTGTCTTTCTCTTTAGAATTCATGTGGAACTCAGCTGAAGCCTTCACAGCCTTCACAGCTGTAGTTTCAATGCTATCTGGGTCACTGGGCTTGATAGGGCAGACTGAAGCAGAGACAGAGCGAGCAAGACTCGGAGGACTATCAATCTCAGGACTCTGTCCCAAAGAATGAGCTGGATGGTTAAATCCATCTGAAGTTGGTAACGATGACATTCCCAGTGAGGTAGATTCTTTACCACTTTTTTCTGTTAACAAAATGGAAAGAAAGAGATTAATAAGCAGGTAATAAAGGCCATTATGTTACCAGAGGATACAAATCTAAACAGGAGATTCCAACTTGGGTTCTTAAAACTCAGGTTTCTCTTATTCATGTTGAGTTTGAAATATATACAAGTATCTTTGTGCTGGACAATTTTTTTCCCAACACCGAGGACTGAATTTAGGACCTCAAGCTTGTTAAGACAAAAGTTCTATAATAAACAACTTAAAATCATAGAAGCAGAGTAAGAAGTAGGCATATTCTTAATAAACTTGTTTATTGTAGTTCAATGTGACTGTTTAAGTAAGCCTTTACAGAATGGCTTTACAGTGATGGTACTCAGGACTGAAGGACACTTGGCTTGTGCATTGCTTTTGTTGTTCTTTTCAGACAGATGTCTGAATTCCAGGCTGGCCTGGAACTCCAGATCCTCCTGCCTCAACCTCCTGAGTACTGGGACCAGTGACACTACATAGGCATCTTTGTCTTCAATGAATCGAAAATTCAGGAATAGCTTCTTCAAGTGTGTTTACTCTACCACTTGCCCTAAGACACCTGAGATGACTTGGTGAGCATGTGAGTTCTGAGGTGCCATCCTTGAAGCCAATTCAGAAGTTTGCATTTCCCATAAGCTCCTCAGGTATTTTCTCTCTTTTTTTTTGCCAGTCCTGGACACTGCCCCTGATCATCTTTTGCTCAAGGCTAGCACTCTACGATTTGCGTCACAGCGGCACTTCTTTTTTTTTTTTTTTCTGCTTTTTCTGTTTATGTGATTCTGAGGAATCAAACCCAGGGCTTCACGCGTGGTAGGCAAGCACTCTACCACTAAGCTACATTTCCAGCTTCCTTGAACATATTGTAAACTCTGAGAATATTTGCAGCTGAGCAAGTCTCACAAAAATGAGTGCTTCAGATGAGAACACTGCTTAATATATTCAGAAGTGACAGTTATAAAGAGAAAAAAATTTGGAGACTTCCAGAAGATAGAGAAGTAAACATTAAATTGTATTGCTACTCACACTTCCCAAAAAATGTGGTCAAACTATGTGATCATCTTAAGTCAGACAACAAAAGTAAAGCTGAAGATCAAACAAATGTAATCACAACCACCTTCCTACCACATATTGCAACGTCATGCTTTAAACTACAAGTCAAATGGCTGCTAACAAGGCCCATCACATTACACAATAATCAGGCTTAAGGGCAACTCAAATGTTATGATGTCCAAAGTAAGAGTCTGACCTTCACTTACGAAGTCATGAAGTAATGCACCTATGATTTAAATGTCTTAAAATATTCCAGCCAGACACTGGTTAACAGTTCAAAATCAAGCACTGTGAGAAAGTCCTCAACTTCTTAGGAAATAGTGTTATCTTACAATTTAGTGGTAAAAAGGGAAATAGCACTTGTCTCAGTTTAAACAATACCCACTTGGATCTAGAAAGGTATTAGGTATTAGTTTATCATTCTAATTGATAGGTTAACTCTGTAACTTTGAACTGCTGTTAACAGAAAACAGCACTGTGGCCCGGGCATGCCAGTCACAGACAAGCATGTATGTAATGTGTGTGTGGCACAGCCGGTAGACTCTGTACTCACTACGAGAGCAGTTGCAGTCCTCCTGAGGCTGAGACAGCCAGGTCCACTGGCCCCACTCTAACTGTAGGAGAGGACTGGGTCAGTACTATAGGATGATTAGGAGAAGAGGAGGAAATGGGTATTAAGATTAAATTGTGCCTACTTTTAACCTGTTATAGGGAGGTAGAGGTGGGAGGAGAAAAGGGAAAAGGAAAAGGAAGAGGGAGGAAAAGGGAGGGAGAGATGAAGGGAGAGGGGGAGAAAGTGAGAGAGGGAAAGGAACAGAGAGGAGATGCTACAAATTATAACCAGTCTCCAAACCCCTCAAGTTCTCAGTTCATTGAAAGATCACCTTTCTTCCTCCTAATTTCTCATGCTGACACACTGATCTTACTTATTTACATCATAGGTTAATGGGAAAATAAAATGTCTCATCTACTTTGTACCCTGAATTACTTTAGAGGCATGGTCTTGCTATGTAGTCCAGGCTAGCCTTTAACTTTCTTACAATGCTAGGGACTGAACTTTGCCAGACAAGTTCTCTACCACTGGTCTACATCCTCAGAACTGGTCTTTAACTCTTGATTCCTCTGCCTTAGCACCTAGAGTGCTGGGATTGTAGTAGTGTATTACCATACTGGGTCTGCCTATGTAAGTGACTCTGTTATCCTGGACAAGGCATCAGGCTTAAGTTTCCACTTCAAAAGAATGAAAATTTCTGCCCTTTAATTCCAGGTAGTCATGTGCAATGTTATGAAAAAAGAGCTTGCTGCTTTTCAGAGGCAAGGGACTCATGGAATCCATAAAAGCATAGTCGTCATTGACCAGGTGCTGTGACACCAACACCCTTGCTATGCTACTCACGACAGTGAGATGTAGAAGTTGTACAAAGGACACCTCCCTCCCACTATTCTAGTAACAACAACAACAACAAAAATTTTAAAAGCAATTTATGCTTATGTATGCATACATGCCAACATACATTCAAACATATGTGCAAGGCTAGTTGTAACCAGATTGAACAGTAGAGACTAACTTCCAAAATGCTCCAGATAGACTTTGAAATCACAGGCGACAAATGGGATGGTGTCTATAAATACCTGGTCTGGGGCCCACTCCAGCTGCAGCACACACACACTACATGCATCATGGCTTCGGACGCTCTGTTTGGGTTAGGAAACAGACAAGCAAACTCGGGTTAACAATGCAAACCACACAGCATGCAGGGTTATAGTCTTCACTCTTGCGCCAGGAACCACAAAGTCAACGCTGGGACGCATCTAACCTTTGGAAACCCAAAGATGTGCTGTTGCTTCAATTCTCTCACCGTATGTTAAACAATGTGTCTGTCAGCTCCAACAGCCTCCCCACTCCCCCCCATTCAGGAATTCACAAATGCAGGCTGGTCTTTCACTCCAGCCCATAAAGATCTTGGAATTACACACGTGCACATCCATACTCAATTCTAGTTTGATATTGAATTTAGAAAGAAATTAACTTCAACACACTATACATATAATTTATAAGCAAAAACATAGGACAGGAAAAGAGTCAATCTGTCAAAACTGTGAAAAAAGAAATCTTATAAAGGTTAATAAACATGTGTAACAATCACTTCCTAATTTGCTCAGTTGAGATTCACTGTTTTTTTTGTTTTTTTGTCGGCCGTGGGTTTTGAACTCTGGGGCTAGGCACTGTCCCTCAGCTCTTCAGCTCAAGGCGAACGCTCTACCACTTGAGCTACAGCGCCACTTCCGGTTTTCTGGTGGTTTATTGGAGATAGGAGTCTCACGGTCTCTCCTGCCCGGGCTGGCTTTGAACCGCGATACTCAGATCTCAGCCTCCTGAGTAGCTAGGATTACAGGCGTGAGCCACCAGCGCCCGGCCACTGTTGTTTTTTTTATAAAACATTCTCTCCACTGAGTCCAGGGTAGCTTTTAACTCTGATTCCCTTGTTTGTGATTCTCCAGTGCTGTGATTATATTCTTTTTTTTTTTTTTGGGGGGGGGGGGGGATCCAGTTGTGGGGCCTGAACTCTGGGCCTGGGCGTTGTCCCTCAGCTCTTCAGCTCAAGGCTAGCGCTCTACCACTTGAGCCACAGTGCCACTTCCAGCCTTTTTTTTTTTTGCTTATGTGGTGCTGAGGAATCAAACCCAAGGCCTCAGGCATGCAAGGCAAGCGCTCTACCACTGAGCCACCTTCCCAGCCCCTAGTGCTGTGATTATAGACATCATACCTGACTCAAGACTCATTTTTACAGGAAAATAAAACAAATCTGATTAAGTTGTATCCTTACCTTCTTTTTGATCAGCTTTTAGAAATATACCAGATATAGCCAGTACTCTAAATTATTTGTCAATGAATAGAAGAGATAAACATACTCAAAGTACTCTAAATTATTTGTCAATGAATAGAAGAGATAAACATACCCAAATGTGATATAGCTACCAAAGAAAAAGCTCTCCAAAATGCTTTTGTCTACCATGTGACATTTTGATTTTTTTCCCCTTGTTCATGGGGCGCTCTACCATGTGAGCCATGGTGCCATTTTCAGCTTTCTGATGGTTTATTGGAGAAAAAAGTTTCAGGGAGAGCTGGGAATGTGGCTTAGTGGTAGAGTACTTGCTTAGCATGCATGAAGTCCTGGGTTCGGTTCCTCAGTACCACATACACAGAAAAAGCTGGAAGTGGCACTGTGGCTCAAGTGGTAGTGCTAGCCTTGAGCAAAAGAAGCTCAGGGACAGTGTCCAGGACCAGAGTTCAAGCCCCAGGACTGGCAAAAAGAAAAAGAAAAAAAAGAAACAAAATAAAGTCACTGTCCTACAAAGACAGTTGTGAATAATAGGTTTAAAAAGTCATGGCTACTACCAGCTAGTGTTTCTCCAGTAGTAATACCAAGACTGGGGAAGGAAAAGAAAAGAACTTTGAAAAGCTGCACACACAAGATTAGTACACAACACTGTGACTAAACTGACAAGTTATCCGCAATGTGGTAAGTGGGTGTGTCAAACTCAAGCAAGCTTACACGGCTGGGAAGATTAAAATGACTGTTGGCAGTTCAAAGTTCTTCCCTTCTTTCAAAACAGTATAGTTGCAACCAAAACTCTACTCTATATGTAAAACTAGGTCAAAAGGTGACAGATTCTGTCAGGCCATCCTGGGAAACCCTACCTGCTTCCCAGACCCATACCAGGGCTCAAAGGTATACTGTTCACAGGAACGTTTTCCAGTAAAGTCTGTTTGGCTGGCTTGCTTATTATTTACTTGCTATATTCATTCATATTTATTGTTCAGGGGGTTTGAACTCAGGGCCTCATGCTTGCTAATAGGGAGTCTACCACTTTAGCGTGGCCCTAGTCTTTTTTTATTTTTGGGA